TTCCATCCAAAGATCCACTCAGTGCTCCTCATGGTTTGGGGAGGAAATGCAAAGCAGAAGTGGAGAGCACACATTGTAAATGTTCACCACAACACAGGAGGCAGTTAAGTTGAGATACATTTCATTTTGATTTTTAGATGAGCTACATTCCTCCCTTTTAGTTGTTAATCAGCAAGTCTAGCTAACGCTTCTAAATCTTCATTGTTCTGTCCCCTTGTAGCTTCATTTTAATTTCACTCTCTAGTCTGGCGCTCTGGCCTGCTCCCAATGTCATGGTCTTCACTCAGAAGTAAACCTGATCACATTACTTCTCTGCCCAGAATTTTTCAGTAGTTCCCATTCCTTGGATAAAGTCTGCTCTTTTTTGAAAATATAGGAGACCCTTCAAGATTTGGCTGTTTCAGCTTTATCTCCTGTCACTCTCCTAGGTACTACTTACACAAATGTACAGTTAGACCTCATTTAACACGGTTGATGGGTTCTTGGAAACCAGTTTTAAGGAAAGTGTATGCCCAAACTGGGTCTTTGAATAATGTTTCACTCAATGTTGACTACAATTTATTTTTCCTTCTAGTTACTGCGAAACGACATTGAATGTAATAAAGTTATTCAAAGACCAGATATATTTTCTTTTCTCCAACAGATCATGTCTCTTTTGACCCAAGTCTTGCCTGCATCTTTCCCACTATTGTTCTATGTTACGCTTATCTGGGGCCTGCTTATTTACCTTTCAAGATTTAACTCAACCTGGGAGCCTTCCCAAGCACTCCTCTCCCATCACTAAAGCACCTTTCTCTGTGTTGTAAACACTTCTCCCCTTACATTGTATTGTAATTATTTGTTTGTACACTGATTGCTTTACTTGTTTTAAATCTCTTCCAAGACTCCGTATAGATAATGTCTTATCTCCTTTCAATGTAGGAGCTCAATGTAATGATTAACTGATAGATTTGTAATTTCTTCTTTCTAGGAGGCCTACTTACAGAATAATTTTAGTCTTAATTCATCATAAAAATGAAAAATAGGATTTTAGACAAACTTACCATTGAGTAGAAATCAAGAGATTTTTCCATACAATTAGATTTGAAATGTTAGTTAGTTAGAAGATATATATAGAGAAAAAGGGAACTTAGATGTATGGGAATCACATCTAGGCTTGTGCCTCGGGCAAACCAGTTTGTATTTGTCTGGAGTCATACATATGAGGCTGATGAGACACCAAAGAACCTTTTGGGGGTGAGAGAATGGGAGGAAGACAGGTCTCCCAAGGCATCTGATGAAATACATTTAGTTCAAGGGGATGAGAAGTTTGGACTAGAGAATATGGAACCTCAAAGGAAGATGAACTGAGATTAAGGGATTTAAAAGTTAAGAAAGACTGTTGAACCCTCAGATGTCAAGGGATTAATTTGCAAGAGACTTGCAACACACACAAATTTAACTATCACAACATCCTGCATCAAGCACCTGGATTCTCTGTGGAGGAATTGCAGAGCCACTTAAAGTTAAAAGTAATACATACAGGGAAGTTCTTTCCCTTCCAAATTGCTCAAGGAAAAAAGTGGAGAAATCTGAAGCTCTGGAAAATTAACTTCTTAGGAATCTCAGTACAAAGATGGAAAACAAGATAAGAAGAAGTTTTTCCTTATGAAATGTGGGGTATTTACTCCATTCTTCTGGGGTGAGACAGGAGAAGGTGCTTGAGTACAAAACACTCAGGGAGAGGAGGGGGTCTTCAATTAGAAGAAAAAATTCTACCTTAGATGTTGTAGCCCCAACAGAGAGAAAGGAGACCAGTCCCTAAGGGGGGGAGAGAGATCCCCAAGGAAAACCCAGAGATGGGAAGAAGCACAAACAGGGGTTCCAGAATACCTGGTGTTCCCTCTGATACTAGGACCACTTTGTTTACCACAGTAGCACCCCTGTGAACCATGGAGGACATATTCAAGACCCACAGTGAATGTCTGAAACCTAGAAGAGTACCAAACCTTAAATATACTATGCTTTTTCCTATACATACATACCCATGATGGTTTAATTTATAAATTGGGCACAGTAAGAGGTTAGCGACAATAATGAATATTGAAATAGGGGCTTCCCTGGTGGCACAGAGGTTAAAGTCTCAGCTCTATGAAGCTCTCATCGCCCACTGCAGCAACCAGTCACTGAGGTACAAGTTCAATCCCCATGCCAGGGAGCTAATCCACATGGCACAGCAGACCTCTCCTGCCTCTCCCGCTGCTCCCCTCAGCAGTGTGTTTCAGTAAATCTACCTGTTCTGCTCCCCACTCTGTCTTTGGTGAATCCTCTCACCCCCTCAAATCTCTGTCCTACACCTCAGTTATTGTATGCATAAATAAATAAAAAGAAATCTTAAAAAAAAGAAATAGAACAACTAAAATAATATACTGTAATAAAAGTTGTGTGAATATGGTCTCTCTCAAAATATCTTGGACTTCAGTTGACCATAGGTAACTGGAACTTCGGAGAATAAGACTATGGATAAAGGGGCATCCTGGAACTAGAAACTCAGGTAGTAGCCAAAAGATGCATCTAAATGATAAAAGAGTAAGCTGCATAAATTACCTATCAATGTTATGTGCAGAGATGTGCTGGTTGCATGCATTTTGTTTGAAAGAGATCCACTGTTGCCACAACTACTGGGCAGGGGAGAAGGGGAAGATAAAGGGAGGCTTTCACAGTTAACTCTCTCTATATATTATTGGAATCTTGCATCTAGACAATATAGTCACTTAGTTAGGAAACACTGAAAAAAAAAAAAAGGAAGAAAGAAGAAACACCCGAATAAATTGCAAAAGAAGGCTCCCAAACCAAGTTTAATAGCCCTGTCCCAACTCTTCCCTCCCACTAACATGCTTGTTCTGGAGAAGGGAGAAAGGCTTTTCATTTAATTAAAATGTAAAATACTTTCTTTTTTTCCTGCCTGGTGGCTAGGGATATTCTGCCGACTCAGCAGTGAATAATCAGCTTTGACCTAAATAATAGAATAACTCAAAGTGGCCACTGCAGCTGCAAAAGCGTGATCTGAATCTGCAGTTCCTTTCCTCTCCTTCTCTCTCCCACCCCTCCAGGCTCCACGCAGGCAGACAAGTCAGTGACAGCAGTTTCTTTCCATTTTTCCACCCTTATCTGCTTCATCACACTGTCATTTCTCATCTGATCTATTCCAAAACAGCCTCTCCATGCAATCAGACTTGACCTCATCATCTTCCCTCCCACAGCAAACCCTGGCTAGGGGCTTTGCCACTCCAGTTCTCCGCCCTGGGCTCCATGCCCTGTCCTCCAGCTCCTCAAGCCAACCCCTCCACTCCACACCAGCAACTTCACCACAGAGGGGAGCTTGGCTCTCAAATACTTTCATTCCACATTGGCTGGAGTCCATCATCAGCACACCGAAATGACACAGCAGAAAGAAGAGCTTCTTATAGAAATACATCCAGGTCATCCCCAAGCTCTCTGAAGCTTCTCTAAAGAACACAGCTACTCCAGGTCTACCTCCAAAGAGCTCTGGACCTATTTTACACAGCTGGCTTGCCTGCCAAGAGGATGGAATATAGCTGGCTGCTGGCAGGAGGAAGGCTGGAATAAAAGATGTGGACATTTGATGAAAGCCTTTTTGAGAGCTGGTTTCTGTTTTGCTGGATACCCTAATAGACAATTTGAGGGGCTTGCAGAAGTGGGTAAGAAAAAAAAGGTGGGCCTGCCTGGTGGCATAAGGGGTTAAGCACAGCACTGTGAAGCTGTCCACAGCCTCTGCAGCATGAATTTGATCCCTGGCTGGCCAGGGAGGTGATCCACATGGTGCAGCAGACCTCTCCTGTCTTACCCACTGCTCCCCTCAGCAGTGTGTTTCAGTCAGTCCGCCTGTTCTGTTCCCCACTCTGTCTCTGGTGAATCCTCTCACCCCCACACCTCTGGCCTGTACCCCAGTTCTTGTATGCACTATTAAATAAATCTTTAGAAAAAAGTATTCAAGAAAACATAAACTGTGCACTAAACTCAAAGCAGCTGGGCATCTCTAGCCTCAAAGGGCAAGCATGTGGCTATCTATGCCTACTCATCCCCCATGGGGAGAGGAGTTGGGGGCTCACACACCCTTCACACCTGGGAGGAAAAAGAGAGCACACAGGGTGAGGTGACGAACTGCTTTCCATTTTCCTCAAAGGAAATAAGAAGGAATAGCTTGGACTTAAGAATATATTTCTGCTTATGGAGGTGGAAAAGTACTTGAACACATCTCAAGGACACTGACAAATCCCGTCTCTGGAGGACAAGGTTGTCTGCTATATAATCACAGGTAGTTCTACGCAGGAGGCAGAGGGCAGATAAATGGTATTGAACCTTTGACTGCAGGGTTTGGGAAAGGTGAGGAGTTTCTCAATTCCTCCTTGGCCGGGTGCTGGTGGTGTCCAGGTGAGGGGTGGGCTGCAGAGGGGACTGTCACAACAACCTGTCTGTCTGGAGCTGAGTTCTAGGCAGGAACAGAGAAGTCCTTATTTCCTGGGAGGGTTTGGCCTCCACTGTACTGACTACTCCAGAGGGTCTGGAATTCTGCAGGGGTCACCTGGCCCTGGCAGCTTTGAAATATGCAAAGGAAGCAGTGGGGTCTAGCCGTGCAGGGAACTGGACCACGTGGCCTGGTCCCTCTCCTAAGGGTGGACGAAACAGTTTGAGGTTCGCCATTTCTAGCTGAAGCGTAGGGGCATTTCTTGTCTTTGTCACTTTAGCAGCATCAGCATAAAAAAGGAAGCCGTGTCTGTGCACAGCACCCTGAAATAGCAGTGGCCAGCGCTCATGTGGCAATCCTTCCACTCGAGCCTGTCTGGTGGTAGAAACAGCAGCTCTTCCTGCATTCTCACACCCTTTGTCTCCACCTCCCCCAGCTCTGGACCCAACTAGAACAACAACAACAAAAAAAAAAAAGGGAAAAGACAAGACTAAAAGAGGCCGTGCTGAGAGCGAGCACAGATGCCACTTACATAAGCAGATGGCAGCCAGGAGTCGGAGGCCAGACTCCGGGGGGAAGCAGGTGGGGAAGAGTGGCTGTAACACGTAGTTGGAGAAGGTGAGGGCGATGACAGCCTGGTTGGTGGGGTAGATCACCAGCACCGCAATCCATAGCCTCAGGAACCTGAAGCGGGGACAGGATGGAACTTGACTCAAGAGGCAGTGAGATCCCCCACCCACCACCCCAGGCATGGCGGGGATTCAGAAGTCATCAGGGGAAGCCTGGGCAAGTCACTGGACAGTGTTAGAAGAGGTAGGTGGACTAAAGGGATGTGTTTCTGTTTGTTTTCAAGGGTGCCGAGGAGGTTAGTCACCATTCAAATGAAACACCCAACACTCTGCAATGACAATAAAATTATTTAACAATGAAGAGCTACATTTCAACTACTACTAACAGTCTTGGCCTTCTCTCTCTCTTCCTTCTCCTTTCATCAACTCTTCTCTTCTACTCTGGCACCCCAGCATGCAGTGGTGGAAAATAAAATTTATAGCCCCCGGATTTTGACAGCCAGGACATGCTGAGGGTGTGCTTACTTAAGCAACAGCCGGGGGTGGGGGGCATCAATTGGGGTCTGTGGGGGAAGTGTCCTCCATACTGGGACCTCCCTGGTGGGGGTTGAGTGCTTGGGTAGCAGGGCTGAAGAAACTGAGGAAATTCAAGATCAGGGCCATGCCCCGGAGGGAGACCATTATGCCTGGTAAAGTGAGAAGCAGGTACCTGTCTCAGAGAGTCATTCTCATTGTCAAGATAAAAGGGTTTTGTGTTGTGATGTGCATAGTTCTGCTTGCTCTAACTCACAGAATCTGTTCCACTGAGATCAACAGAGATTAAAATCAAGGCCTGGTTCCTCTGCCACTCTCAGCAGCACTGAGGCCACTCAAGGCTACGCTAGCCACCGTGACATGCAGAGGGGAGACCAGCCCATTCCCCGGCTCTCTTCAGCTTCTTGGAAACTCCTGACCTTGGCTTTCAAGACTGCTGGGGCTTCTGCAGGTCCTCTTACCCAGCCAGTCCTCCGAAGATGTCCTTGACATAGGAGTAGTCACCGCCAGATTTGGGGATGGTGACCCCGAGCTCAGCATAGCACAGGGCTCCCACAGCTGTGATGAGACCCGTTACGATCCAGACGATGAGCGCAAAGCCCACAGAGCCCGCATTCTCCAGCACACCCTTTGGTGATACGAAGATGCCAGAACCGATGATGTTCCCTGCAAGGAGCAAAGGGGAGACACTGGAGTCAGCACGGTTAGCACGAGCAGCATGCGCAGGAGTAGGCGCATCTGATCTGATTCTAACCTGCCTGTGGGATGCTTAAATCACCCTTAGACAGTGTGTCTAGCAGTAACTCTCCTTCAAAACAGGGAAGGAGGAGCAGATGATGGATAGGAATAGACCAGGAACTTGCTCAGGTATTTCACTGGTGTCACTCAATCCCAGGACAACCCTATGGAATAAGATATCATTTCTCGGGCCTCCCCGGTGGCGCAGCGGTTGAGCACTGGGTTACGAAGCTGCCCGCGGCCTCTGCAGCGCTGGTTCGATCCCCGGCTGCTCTCCGGCCACTGGAGGAGGGTCCCACATGGCGCGCAGACCTCTCCTGCCGCCCGCTGCTCCCCTCAGCAGTGTACTTCGGTCCTTCTGCCTGTTCTGTTCCCTGCTCTGGTTCTGGTGAATTCTCTCACCCTCCCGCACTTCTGACTGTACCCAGTGCTTGTATAAACAAAATAAACAAACAAACAAATAAATAAATAAATAAAACATGCCTCTATTTAAAAAAAAAAAACATATCATTTCTCCCATTTTGCAGATGAGGAAACCAAGTCTCAGACATACCAAGTGCATTTTCCAGGTACACACGCAGCAAGTGGTGGTGCACATATTGAACTTTAGGAACCTCTGACCAGACTGCACACAGCCCGCCCAAGGTGACCAAAGGTTCTTAGACTGACTGGAAATGGCAGGGCTGAAGAACCAGGCTTTTCTCAGAGACTGGATGCCAGTTAGAAAGCTGTCAGGAGGAGCCAAACTTTTTGGGCAGATTGTGGTCACGCCCTGTGACTGGGAGTTTTCAAGACCTGTGAGCTTGGACAGCATTCCTAAAGGCTGGCCTCTACTCCCAACATGACAGCCCCACCTTTGTGAGGAACTGAAATAGCCCTATAAAACACTCCCTGTAGTTTGAAAGTGTGAGGGCAAGTACGTGCAAAGACTCAACACTATATTCTTCCAAAGGTCTTTCTCCTCCACGGTTTCATGTGGCACTCACAGCAGCCTTATGGGCTTCAAGGAGAAGAGGAAGGGCTGGTGCATTTCTATGTTGCAGACCAAGAGACTAAGTGCAGAGGGGTTAAATGACTTTTCCCAAATTCCACAGCCACTGATGGATAAAACTGGATCCAGAAGTTAGTCTCCCAATGCTTAAAGCACTCTTTCCACCAACCCACTCTGCTTTTCTATCTAAGGGGCTGGTTTTCTCCTGAGAGATGAGGGTGAATGTTTGGCTACAAGGTTGTGCGTGCTGGCCAGGCGAGGAGTAGGAGTGCAGCTCCTGACATGCTCCGTCCCTTGCTTTCCCTTGTCCACTTCTTGTAATTCAAGGTGGGGGTGAGGGTTCATGGGACAGGTGCTCTTTAAGTTCTCTCTGCACATCCCACCCAGTTGCACCATTAAAGGCCTATGTGTGTGTGTGGAGGGGGGGCCTCCCTGGTGGCACAAGAGGTTAAGACACAGCACTATGAAGCTATCCCCAGCCTCTGCAGCAAGAGTTCAATGCCCGACCAGTGAGGTGACCCACATGGCACAGCAGACCTCTCCTGACTAGCCTGCTGCTCCCCTCAGCAGTTTATTTCAGTCAGTCTGCCTGTTCTGTTCCCCACTCTGTCTCCGGTGAATCTTCTCACTGCCCCCCACACACCTCTGGCCTGTACCCCAGATCTTGTATGCATAAATAAATCTTTAAAAAAAAAATAGAGGCCTGCGGGAAGAAGCAGGCGAACTGGATGCAGGTAGCATTGCAGATCTGGAGTATCGTGAGTCAGTTGTATTTCATAGTGTTCTAAAGACATCTCAATTTCCCACCATCTCTCTTTCATGGTTTGTAACCAGTTCTAGGCTGAATGAAATGTAGAATATAGAATGTTATACTCAGTTTCCAAAACTGACTTTCAGATCTCAACCATAACTCAATCTCAATCCAGCCCTGAAGCTTTCATCTAAACCAAAATTCAATTTTTAATCCCAGGTCATGCACACAGTTACTTTAGTTAAAGGGATAGAGAAAATATTCACATTCTAAAAACATAAGGCTATATTCCTCGGAATACAAGACACTTTTCAAACTTAAAATTTGTAGCATGAGATGAGGAACGGGAGAGAGAAGCGGGCAGACAGGTTTAAAAGCAGCCACAGGCAGTAAGTCTGAAATATGGACAGAGGGCATGGGGCCACAGCTGGACTCAAATGGAAAGCAAGCACATTGCTGTCTCAAACACGCTTTCCTTCTCCTAGTGCTAATCATCTGACCCAACAGAACTGGGCTGTGCATAGAGGTGAAATGAAAAGAAAAAATGTTTCTTTGTGTTCAGATTTGTGACCTAAATGTCAGGCAGAAACAGAAAAAAGAGATTCTGGTGTCATGGGTTTTTAAAGGCATTTCCTTTTCTTGTCTATTTATTTAAAACCCTATGTTAGGAATAGAAGGCATCTTTCAACCCTCTTTTCTCTACAAGTTTCCACGTGCTTTGCATGAACTTGGGTCAGTGGAGACCAAACACCTCAGGGCACAGTAGCCCTGTCAAGTGACTCTTCCCCTGCCAATCTAAACACCTGGAAGACACCAAGTACTGGGAGCTAAAAGAACTAAAGATGGCATTGATAACAGTGTTGAATGGTGATAGTAAGTCCCTTGCCTAGCAGGAATTAATCAGAAGAGTGATCTATCGGGCATTTCAAAACCAGCTGAGAGAAGAGCAATGCAATTAGGGCTATAAACTGAGCTCAAGGGGTTAGAAAAGCAATATGCAAGAAAAACAGGGTTTGACTTTGGCCTTTAACGTCATACAGAAAGGGAGGAGGGGAAAACAACTAGGTGTTTCTCAAAGTCAGGAATGACTGTGGAAAGGGTGGAAGAGGGGGGTGGATGTTACTGGAAAGATCCCATCTTCTCAGGAATGAAGAGTGTCAATATTCCACAGAGGGTTCTTGGAAAACAAACACCGCAACAGGGACCAGTCACCACTTTAGCTCTCCTGCTTTTCTCTGACATTTCCAGAGAGTGTGTACTCCCTCCCTCATTCCCCTTTGAGGAAGCCACCAGAAGGTGGAAGCCACCGGAAGGTGGGATGTGCCATCTGAACAGTCTTTGTGGGGTCTGACTGCTTCCCGCCTCCACTTACTCTTGGTTCACACATCCTTCCAAGGAGCTGCCAGAGCAACGATGAGGGTCATCATAGATTGGCATTGGAACAAAGTGCTCCCTTTGTAAAAATTGGGTCCTCTCCCCAACAATCTCAATTACAAAGCCAATCGCTAAAAAAAATTGAGTTATGCCATGAAAACTGGTCACCAGGGAGCAGGTAAACAGGAATGTTTCTTAAAAAAAAAAAAAAAAAAAAAAGAGGAATGCTCTCCCTAATTCTAGGAAACTACTACCTAGAATCAGATAACACTTCCTCCACCATGGCAGCGGCCTCCTCTGGAGAAGATATGTCAGTCAAAGCAGGGCTATGTTGTAGTGTGGAAAGAATGAGGAGGATACGTGCAATGCCCACCATATACAATCTCTAGTGTGATCCTTCAGTTAATATTTATCTCCCCCCTAGACTGTAAGCCCCCTGAGAGCAGGAACTGTGTTGCTCACTCTCACCTATGAAGTGTCTCCTGGGAGACAGTCTACAAATGTTTACCGAATGAATGATACAGGACATAATCTCCACTGGGCAATTTAATATACCTAGTTCTTTGGGACCGTCTGATCCTGTGACGTGTGTCCAGTGTGCATTGTTGCCTGAGTAAAGCAGTCCACTTATTTCACTGCTGGGGAGAATAGACTGGCTATTATTACCTTCTCCAGTTTATGGGGGACGAAAGTAGGGCAACTATTATTCCCATTTTCCAAATGGGGAAAATGAGTGAGGTATTATTACTCCTATTTTGTGGTTGAAGGAATTTAGACCCAGAGATAGGTTTTTTTTGCCTAAATCACAGGATAAGTTAGTAATAGTTGGACAGAAACTAAATCTTCTGTCACAGCCTCAAGCTTTCCCCGGCAAATAGTCATTCTGCATCCTCCACTTCATAGGCAATGGGAATGGTTCACAGAAGATGCTTATTAAAGAATCGGAACAGGGCCTCCCCTGGTGGTGCAGGTGCAGGCGGTTGAGTGCCGCACTGTGAAGTTGTCCGCAGTCTCTGCAGCGCTGGCTCGATCCCGGCCAGCCGGCGAGGGTCCCACAAGGCACTGCAGACCTCTCTTGTCGCGCCCACTGCTCCCCTCAGCAGTGTATTTCGTCAGTCTGCCTGTTCTGTTCCCTGCTCTGTCTCTGGTTAATTCCCTCACCCTCCCGTGCATCTGGCCTGTACCCCGGTTCTTGTATAAATAAATAAATAAATAAATAAATAAATCTTTTTTTAAAAAAAGAATTGGAACATTGATCTGATTCTTTCCTTCTATTTCAATCACCTTCAACAGTGATTTGCAAAATGTTCACGACCATTACCTTGCTGGACTCTCATAACTATGATCTTAGGTGCCCAGGGCAGGTGCTATCATTGCTACTTATCTTTGTGGAGACTGAGGTTCAGAAAGGTAAGTATACTTGATTAAAATCACACACTCATAAGTGGCCAAGGCCTAGATGAAAGGCCAAGTCCTTGGACTCCTGGCCCAGGGTTTCCTCCCTAATCCACACCGCCTCTCCTCTAGAAATTGCACAACACTCACTTTAACTGCAGGGCTTTAATCTTGGATACTGTCCAACTGAGGTCTTTCTGGAGTGACTTCGGAAATGAAGATCTAGGAAGGGTTTGTTTTTTTTTTTTTAAAGATTTATTTATGCATATAAGGACTGGGGTACAGGTCAGAGGTATGGGGGGTGAGGACCCACCAGAGACAGAATGGGGAACAGAACAGGCAGATTGACTGAATACACTGCTGAAGGGAGCAGCAGGCGAGTCAGGAGAGGTCTGCTGCACTATGTGGGTAGCTACC